TACAAAATAGTCATTTTAAAATCATTGGCATTGCAGGTGATGAGCTTATATTAAGGATAAAAGAAACTAAAGAGAATAGTACAAAAATAGAATAAATGTCATGTTCATATGAAAAGCAGTATAATAAGATATCACTTATGTTCTAAATGACTGAAATGCACTGGTATATTTTAGTATTCAACTCAGTGATTATTTGCTGCTTTATTACTTCATCTTATGTTGTTTTTTGTAAATATAAGTTTTTTGGTAGCTGCATCAAACTATCCTATGATCAGTAGATAAATTCTGGTAGGATACAAAGTTCTATAAAGCTTCACAAGTTATCGTGTCCATTTCATAATTTTATTTATTTATTTTTGGCTATTTCTTTTATAAATCTTTTTATTGTATTTACTGCATATTTTAATTTTATCAGTTCATAGGTGATTAACCAATGAGCATGAATGAGGTCAATTCATTCCTGTGTTTGGGAAGGAATGTTGACTATAAATCAAAATTTAATTTACTGTGTGTTTCTCTGTGAAATGAGGCAAAAGTTTAGTAAAATGTACAGATCTGATGTACTCAAAAAATCAGATTTGTTAGAAAAGTATTTGTACTCAAGATATGTCTGTAAATTCATAATGTCTATCTGACTTGGACTCTGACAAGTTGGAGTGAAAAAAAGATGTTTCATATGAAGAAAAAAATGCTTTTGTCCATTGTACAGTTTGTATATTGTTATTTTGTAACCTCTAGAACCTCCAAAATGATATCTACAGTTGTTTTCAGTATACCTATATATTATTTGAGGTATTTACTCTCTTCTATGAAAACTGTCAATAAATCAACAATGTAGGATAAAATGCATAGTTGATAACTCTAACCCATGTTGAATGGCACTCTGTAAATGGTCATGGTATATGCACTTGAACCCAAACCCATGCACATAAGCAGAATCTTATTGATGTACATGTTGACAGTGTTTGTACATGCTATTTAGTAAATAGGTTTTCTATAATGACACTTTTCAGTGCTAATTATATCAAATTTTCATTGGCAGTGACAAAGCATACCATGCTTTGCTTATTTGAAATTCATGAATGACAGTATCAGTTGATGCTTCACACTTCACTTCAGCTTTTCAATAATTTGTGGTCTGCTACCGATTGTTCTGAATTTCTGTCTTTAATGCACACTATCAAGTCTGTTCCCAGTTGCAGGAATAAACTTACTTATTTACAATTTAGTTATGATGCTACATCATGATTTTAAAGCATACCTATTATTATAGCTACACCTCAACCACCCATCAACAACACTGTTGATTCAAGGGATTTAATTTTTTTCAACATCTGTAGTGTTGAAGAGAAGCTTTTTTTTCCATTTCCAGTCTGTAATATACTTTCTATCAGTGCATGTAAAAGATACCAAAATGAGTAATTATTGATTCCATGATTTGCATAGTCCAAGTGTTTTTTCTGTTAAAAACCATTCATTGCCCACTGTGATCTGTATCTTGTGACAAAAATCACGAGGAAATAGTCAGATCTCTTGAAGACCTAGATTTTCTTCTGTTAATAACTGTAACTAGTAGTGACATCTAAAACAGGGAAAATGTGAAGTTGGTACTTAAAATTCAGATTCATATTAAATTTGTAGGAACTATTGGCTGGATTACTGTGTGCTTTTAGACACTTTAGGTAAGTTACAGTCTCTGAGAGTGTGTGGATCTCTTTCTCTCTCTGTCATAAGTATCTGTATAAAGTAAGTAAATTTAGCAATGATGGTTTAAAATACTTTTGAAGTATAAATGTTTATATAACATTTTGGGACACGCAAATTCTACAGTTTTTAGATACAGCAACTATATTTCTGAAAATGTTTCTCTAGTACTGAAACACATAACAAGAAAAAAAATATGCACAATATGTGCCAGAAACCTAATATGTCACATTATGACATTCATTTCACCACTCATGCCTATTATTTTCACTTTTTGTTTTTCCAAAGATACTGACTGTTTCAGTGTATTATCTGTACTCATGCTTTATCAGGTAATGGGTTTGACCACAACTTAGCTGTTTTATCTGAGGTTGCTATTGCCATGGTGGTAGTCCAAAGCTATCTTTTGATCCAGGCATATTCATTTCACTACTGTCTGGTTGTTATACAAAACAGATCCCAGGTTCATTAACTGTAAATTCTGGTACCTAAACAGTTACAGAAACTAAGTCAGCCACTTTGTGGGCACCAAACATGGCAATTCATCAACACATTTCCTTTTTTGACTCCTTTCACTTATAGATGAGCACAAAGCAGCATCACACAGGTGTTGCTTCTTATGTCTGTTGCTCAGTTTCAAGTCTTGTACATAACTGCCACTTGTACTGAAATATTAAGAAAATATTCAGAAAGCTGTTTATCAAGAATATTTCAATCTACATAATGAAAAGAAATGTATTCAGAACAAAATATGATATTTGGTACACCATGCGTAATTTTGGCACAATACCTGCTATTGTTTTTGGATGTTACTTCGCAGAATTAATTTCACCTACCCATTCAATGAAAAAATCCTAACCTGGGTTAATATTTTACTGTTCCTACCTTGTATATCAATCACACACTCATACCAACCTAGGATGCTGAATACAATAGTCTGCAGTGAAGTATATTTACTGGCCTTGATAGCTGCTAACACCAGTAGCTGAACTACAAACATATCGTATCACCACTGTAAGTCAGTCCATTACAATAAGTAATACAGAAAAGTAAAACAAGTCCAATTAAGTAAGTTCTATTCCATTTAGATTCACTACAACCTGATTTACATTTTGTGTTGATCTAGGACACAACTCCTAGTGGCTATATCTGGAGGTTTTATACACATTCATGAGTTCTGAGGGTCTAGTGAGTACTCCATGGGTAGTTACTAGATTCTCAGCATTTCTCACAATGTTGGATGACTGTTTCATTAGAGAAAGGCTCTCAGTAGCTCAGAAGGCAAGGGTCAAAACACCTTCTCAGCTGAATTTTTGAATTGTCGTAGTCAGTTCTTCCAGTTGTTCAAACTGATGTTCTAGACATTAGATCTACCAACATGAGCCATCCTAAATATGCAGTAATTTAGCAGCTATCATTCATTATCCTGTATATATCTTTTGTGGCACTGCCCAATAGCATGCAAGTAAGGCTCCCAAAGCCCTTTCAGTCCCACCAATCTTACAGTCTAAACTGCCCCAACTACTGACGTCAAATGGTAGTCACAAAATTTAATTTATTTTGTCAGCAAAACAATACCATCCAATAGCACAAGTAGTAAGGGTTAGAAATCTCTTTCAGTCATTGGTTTTGCAACCAAGTGACTTTCCTAGCTATTAATAGTCAAGTTGTTGTCACAAAATGCAGTCCATACATTTTGTCAAACAATACCAACTAATAGTTTGAAAAGCAAGGATGCTGCTTTATATCAGTCAGTGACTTCCTGCATCACTGTGATCCTTTGTGCTGTCACCCCTTCTGGCTTCTTAGATTTTCAAGAGTCATTTTAGCAATGTGTGATCCACCCAAAGGGTGAATCTTCTGCCATATAAGTAATGTCAAAAGTGTTTCACAAAGATCACATCAGCAAATACTTCTTTCTTTGTCATGCAGTATATGCATTCAGAAGCTGTGAGCATACAGCTCATGTATGTTATTACATGTTATACTTTATCCTGTAACTGTGAAAGCAATGTTTAGATTCTACCAACTCTGGCTTTTGTATTAAAACAAATTTACAGTCCTGTTATGGATATGCCAGTGTGGGAGTTTCCTATGAATTACAATTTAGAGGCATGAATGCTTGCCCAAATTTTTCATTCAGCCTAAAATGCATATTGGCTTCAGTGGGAGTAGATAGTGGTTCAGTAGTCTAATAGAAATTGGCCACAAAAGCATCAATAATATGAAGCAAAATCTAGAAAACTTCATACCTTTTGCCATATCACAGGTTGAGACAAAGTCTAAAGTTGTTTTCACATTTTGAATGAGTTGTTTAAGTTAGTATTCACAACATTATGTAAAATGTAATTCTGTTATTTTTTTCACAATAAGTAACACATTTTGCACTAGTTTGCAAAGAAGGATTACATTCATAGATATTTTTGTGCCAAACAACTTTGCCTTCTGACTAGGTGTAGCCTAGTGGTTAGCATGCCTGAAATGTTTTTAATGTTAGAAAATACTCAAAAACATGAGTTATGAGGAACTACAGCTTGTTAATAACATCCACAACTTTTGTTTAAATAAATCTGTATTTAAAAAAAAGGAAGTTCCAGCAGCTGTCACAGTTAAAGCCTAATTTCATGTAGATTGTGTTGTTTTTAAGGGGTGCAAAATTTTGAATAGAATGAACTTTATCATGTGGTTTTTAGATTTATGTAAAAAAATATATATTATTGTTTTTGAAGTTCCATAGTCTCATTTTAGTAGTTCTACTATTTTAATTAGTCATTGTTATTAACCAGTTAATATTTATATTATATATATATATAGTAGAATTTATTTATTTCACCCCAGTCATGTTGATAGCTCACTGATTTTGCTTAGATAATTTATTATTAAGTGTTTTTATTAACATCCTGTATTTTTGTGATTCAGCTGTTTTGTCTTTACTTGCATGATTTTTTAGCATGTAATTGGCAAATAAAACATAATTTTATAGCTTCACCACCTTGCAAGACATTTAGTATTGATAGCAAAACCATTTAGGGGAATACAGTTATGTTTACTAAAATACTTTGTTTTAAATCAAGAAATTAAAGTTTACAAACAACTAATTTTCTTTTTGTTGGTTTAGTATATCTTATGATGCATTAATCAGATTATATTCTATAACCTTATGACTACTTCTTACTTACCTAATCTTATTATATTTATTCAAGATCATATAAATCAATTGGCACATACTTCGAAGTATGCAAACCAGTTATAAGAGAGATGAAAGTATGCATATATGTTTCTTTCATCGTTTATAGCTGCTGGGGCTACAGTTGTTTATCCAATAGACTTAGTCAAGACTAGAATGCAGAATCAGCGGTCTGGCTCTTACATTGGAGAGTTAATGTACAGAAACAGTTTTGACTGTGCAAAGAAAGTAATTCGACATGAAGGAATTTTTGGACTGTACCGTGGTCTAATGCCTCAGCTTGTTGGTGTCTGTCCTGAGAAGGCCATTAAGTTGACGGTAATATTTCAAATTTTTTTAGACATTGTAAAAAACTATTCAAACATTATTGCTTTTAATTATCTTTTTACATATTATTGGACTGCTGAACCATAGTCTCTCAGTTTTTATTATCTTAAGAAAATTTAACCCAAATATTGCCACACACACTGTGGTGTCTCATCTATATTTATTTTAAAAAGCAGCTAGAACACTATTGTGGTTTAAAGTTAACTTTAGTTTTGTAAAGAATGTCTATATTTATAACCTTCAGTGCATGGAATCAACTAGATTACGATCCCTGTTTTAATGTCAGAATGAACCAAAATGTCATTGCATACTTTTTCATTACTTGTTTTCTATAGATAAGCTGAATATTTTCTTTTCTGTTTTGTATCAGAATACACATTGTTATAGTGTATGACATTAAGGATCTAGTAGTATTAAACTAAGATCTTACTGCACACTTTTTTACAGTTTTACCATTTTAGAATCAACCAAAATACCATACCTTGTTGTAGTTTGTATTTATAACATTAGCTAAAATGTTTCTGCTTGCTTCCCTCCTTTTTTATTCTTCTACCTAAACTGACATTGTTAGTGAAATCTAACCTGATTAATCTTTTATTTTGTGATTGTTAACAAACAAATTCTTATCATTTAGTTTTGCTATTCTGCATTGAAATGATCAGAGATTTAGTACTGTATTTCGTGTCTTTAGTAGATCTAATAAGAATAGTTTTACAAAGCTCTCATTAAAACTAAAACATGGACAATTACTCTAATTACAGGTGAATGATTTTGTGAGAGATAAATTCACATCAGAGAAACTAGGAATTCCTCTGTGGGGAGAAATTATGGCAGGTGGCTGTGTGAGTTTCAGTATTTTAACCTTTGTTGTTGTTGAATGTTGTGCTATTCTTTTATTTTGTTTAGTCATATACATTTTCATTTATTAAATATTTTGCATAACATGATTCGTTTTATAAGATCAAATAAACAATTGGGTTTTAACTTCAGTTATCAGGTAGTCACCTTATGAATCTTTTGACAACTCCTAATTAGAATAATTCAGATGATACCGAAATGGAAGATATATTTGACAATAAGTCATTCCTTGCCTGGCTAATAGGTTTACAGTATAATTATCTTATTTAATTGTTTGAAGTGTAATTGCAAATTAAACTATTTTAGTACACATACTCATCTACTTTCAGTTATGATGTAGCAAATGCCAGGCGCTTGCTCATATGTAATATTTTCCAGTTAGTATTGTTTTTTAGATTAATTATCAGATACTTGCATTTGTTGAGCATTGTATCTGTAACAAAAGGATAAGAAGTTAATGCCTGTGTATACATTGATAGCACTGTAAGTTAGCGAAATGAAAGTTAAGGTAGACTTCAGATTAGGTAGGATTTTTGGTTTCATTCAAAAGTTTGGAATGGATCCAGTTAATAAATATTTGAATCAAAGGTTTTCAATTGAATGTTTTGATTAATTTTGTATATAAAAGTTGTTTTTGTCTCAAGTGTGATATTATTTTTGGATACCAGTACAAGGATAAAGATACGTGTGCTAGAATATAATTGTCATATAACATTAGCCCAAATGTAAATGCATTTAAATCTACAGGTGTTTTCATTATACAAAAAAGTATTGTTATAATAACTGTAACTATTGAATTTGTGGTATATTATTGTTCCACATTAAACATTTTCAAATATATCTGTCAAAGGAATGTTGGTATTAGTTAGGATAAATAATTGTTTTTTCTAGTTGTTTATCCATTTATAAGCCTTTTTCTTTACAATAGTAAATGTGGTATAAATGGATGAGAGAAAGCCACACCATATTCTAGTAGCAGCAGCAGCTTGATACAAAAAAGCATAATAGCTCTTAAGCCTTCACAAACATTCTGTTTTATGTTATACATTTGAGATTAAAAAGTTTATATAAGTTTCAAAGAAGTCATACAAAAACAGAAGATAAACTGAATAATTTCCACTTGTCTGCTTTATTTTTCGAATGACTGTTTCACTTGTCCTAGACAATTGAACAATTGTTAATGTGACACCCTGCATTAATTGTTTTCACTGTGGTTTATTTAATGTTCTTTGCCCTTCCATTTTTTTCAAAGGTCACATGTATATTTGTATGTTTTTACTCTTACTCAAATACTTCTGGTTATTGTTTGCACTAAAATATCTAATTTTATGCAAAGGTTTAACAAAAAATGTATCATTTGACCCTTGTGAAAATGTTAGCTCTGATAACCAGTTTGAAAGTCCTAAATAAAAGCAGTTTCATTTTTTGTGGTGGTTTTAGAATCTTTTATATCCAAGTCTGAATGATACAACCAAAAAAGAAAAATGAATACTTCCTGATCTGATTACATGAAAATTCATCACCATAGTTTAGGGATTTTTGCCTTGTTATTTTACTGGTTCAGTATTCAGATATGTTTATCTTAACCCTTACTGTTCAGTGTGTAGATATCACTCTCAGTTCTATTGATCTAAGTTTAAATCTTGCAAAATCACAAAAAAACACTTATCAAAACTATAATTTGGTGTTAGAATAATAAAGAAATTATCAAAACAATTTGTTTGTTTGTTTAAAATAGTTTGTAATAAGAAGTGTGTTATAATTATGTGTGCACACAAAACAACTAAATCAAAAACTACCTGAAAAATAAATCTGAAGTGAAAAAGAGTTTGAGACATTTGTATTAACAATAACAGTTATTTAAATTATGTATATTAGTAGTCAAAATGATGACTATATCATTTTGTCAAATATGTGTATTTATAAAAAGTTATCCACAGTGATACATAAACCTTTCTCTAATAATGATATTTATATGTTTAATGTTTAATTTGTTTAAATTCCTAAACAAATAATTAAAACATTAAAATAGTTGTACATCAAACCATATGGTCATTTGTTTCTGTGATATTTTCTTATTATGGTATAATATAACTA